GGGGGGGGGTCCTTCACCTCACATGAAAAGTACTGCAACACAATCACACCAACAACTACATATTTATTTGATTAAAATGTTTAAAAATGTGGTACACTCATTTGACCGTAGCCTTCATGTTGAAAAAAATAAATTAAAATCACAAAAAYGCTGGGGTCCAACCCATTTGCCATATTCTTTCAAATCCATATTTGAACCTTTTCATGTGGAAGTGATGACTCATCAGCCCAGCAGCTGTGTCCCTAAATCTTATCCATCCTCATGCTTGAGCTTAAATACTGACTGGATCCTTGTCAGGAGGTGAAAACCTGTCTGTAGTTGCTGAGATGAGCAGGAGAAGCTTGAGTTTGTCCACCAGGGAGCGCTGTCTGTTTGTGGTCACTGGTGGGTTGCAGATTGATCCTTGTCCCTCACAAAATCCAGGAGGTCTTGTGAAATCCAAAATGTGTTTTTCTGACTCTATTAGAAAAGTAAACAGGTGTGTACAATGYTCCTTTCTCTGTCCAAAAAGCCAAAAAAAAATGTAAAAAGAAAGGTTTTGTTATTAAAAGAAAAATTATTGGAGATCAAAAGCAAACTAGTAATTACTATAGTAACTGCTGTATGGGATTGGGACAGTAAAAAGAGGTTGTGTGTGTTTGCTAACTGAGAACAGTGGGACATGAGTGAGGATGGGAGGACAACAGTAGAGAAGAAAATGCAGGAAGCCTGAGAGCTTTTTGTAAGGGGAACAGATCAAATGAAGAGACATTCGGACCGTGTTCAGACCTGGCTCTAACATCTGTCCTGAGAGGGTAGACTGTGTCAACATGGCTCTAAACACAGATGTGAAATATCTCAATACGCATTAAAAACTTCTTCGCTCAAACCACCTTTATCGTCGTACTTTTGGTAGTAAGAACACGCTCCGTCCTAAGCGAAGGTGCAGGACTTCCTACAGACGTAACCCAGAAGCAGTARGGTCTAAACATCTAGCCCTGGGCATCTCAGGGTCCAGCCGCTGGTGGATTTAGGATAATTAAACAGAAGATGTGGCTTTGTTTGTATTGGATTAAAAGTTTTTAATCAGAATCCTTATTAAAATGTTTTTTTTTTTGTTGTGAATTTTTTAACCCGAGTGGATGCTTTGAATGATTGTACCCACTGTGGTCACTGTGAGCTGTAATGGGCTGTCAATCACAACACATCGATCTGAGCAGCGTTTGGTCAAGCAAGGTTTGATCTCCAGCCGCTGCAGTGTGGACAAGTCCTTGGGTAGGACATTGGACCCACTATGAGCCCCRGTCCACTTACTGGTGTATAAGTGAGATATAAAAACAACCATATCATGTCTGTTACATAATGAAGCCAATTAAAAGATGATCCTTCAAAAATATGACTCAAATGGTTCTGAACCGTGTTSATGTCCAAATAATAATGGTTCAGATTATAATAAAACCATCAGCATGTGACTGTGTATCTGCATACARAGCAGCTAACTGAACACTGAACGAGAGCTGACCACTGGCTGTTGATTCGCCCGTGACGTATGTTTAATGCGAGGTCTGAACAGGCTTTCGATGCAGAGGAAGCAGAAGCGCTCAGACTGAGAGCAGGCTGCTGGTGGCGTGAGCTGGATGAAAGCTAACGACGGTCGGGCACACTGATTGTTGAGGTAAGAGCTGGCAGGTCTGGTCCTTGTTTGGAGTTGAGTTCACCTGGGAGAAGATGGGCCTGTCTAGGCGTACATGGTCAACTGGAGCCACTTCAAATGGAGACAAAGAAGCACTGCTTTAGATTGTGAACGTAAAAACATTGTCTTTAGAACTTGTTTTTTGGAAATGAAATCAACAGAAGTAAGAAACTGGAATCAACTGACTACATAWATGCACAAGGTTATCTGGTTTGTTKGAATAATCCATCATGTTGTGGATTTGTACCTCCAGGACACTGAGTCTGATGGTGCCATCTCCATCTTGATCAAAGGCCTGGAACGCCCCTGAGAAGACAAATATCACACTGAATCAACCTGATTTTGTGGGTAAAAAACATCATTCTGAGGCTTAACGTAGTTTTCTTTTAAATATGGTATAAATCAGGGATTCTTAACCTTTTTTGACCTCGGGGCCCAATTTGTTGAACTTCAAGTGACACGAGGCCCAGTCAGACATTACCAATGTAAAGATCAAAATGATAATTATTCTAAATCTTGGTTAATTTTTATTGTTTTTGCATTATAACTAACTAACATAACTAAATTAAATACACTTACATTTTAAAAGCAAAACTCCTGTCAATAATCACAAGACATGATTATGACAAACATTTTTATATTGTAACCTGCCCAGAACAATTATTTGAACAAATACAACAGTCAGTCAACAGACCACTCAGGCTTATCAGCACAAAAATATGTATTTTTAACATAAACAATATTTTCAAAAATTTCAAGAACTCCTGAAAAGAGTAACAAGAAGCCTAAATCCACAAAYTCACACTTTTGAGATGCTGTTATCTTGCTTTAGGATAAATATTAACAACAAATTGTGCTTAAATAAAYGTTTATTTTCCCTTTCCTTGTAAAGACCATTTCTTTACCTTTTTTATTTCTTGATCCTGTTATTATTGGATTACTTAACTTTTTTGCTGGACTGGACAGTAAGCTAAGTACTAATAAAACWATCTATAAGTTTTATTAATAAGGAAAAGTATCTAATTTTACACATTTCTAAGTAACAAATGGGTCGACACCGTGTTTGAGTTTCATCTTCAGTCCATTTTTAAATCAAAGATGTTTGCGGACCTCAAAAAGACTTCTTTATTTAATTCACCAGAAAATGTAAAATAAAAAATCTTTAAAGAAACCAGATTCCATGGTAGCAATAACTGGGCTGTAGTATGAATTGTTACCATGTACTTACCTGGTATTTGCTGCGTACTTATGCAATATGTATGTTGTACTTATGCAGTATGTACATGGTCCTTAATAGTACCAGGTACATATCTTGTCAGTATCAGGTAAGTTATCAGGTAATTACAATGTAAGTACCACATTTATGCACTGCTGCCAACTGCACATATTCACAATAAAGTTACTTTGTGCTGGGATCAATAAATTCTGCAACGTCCCGAAGGAACAGAGAACGTCAAAACAACTCGAAACAACTCCCGTATTTGACTAATGTCGATGTTAATGAGTAAACCAAAGGAAGAACTTTGCTTTGTCCCTATTAGTGTTGCATAAATTAAATCTCTTGTCTCTGGCATCCAGCAGAGAGACGCACAGAGCAGCAGCTCTAACAGRGCCRAGCGGCTTCAAACAGAAAACTTCTCCCATAAAGCTCAGCCTGACAACAAATCAGCTGTTTACCTCAGAAGACAAATTTAAAAAGTCTTCCAGCTAGATCYAACAGAGATGTGCAGTGCTCCAGCTCDTCATTTCACTGTGGAACATCACCTGTCAGYCACCAGRGGCACAAGTGGGGGTGGCCACGGGGGGCTGTGCCCCACCAGTTTTAACCTCTTGAGTCCCAAGCTTTGTGCTTATTTAAATATTTACCAGCTATATAAGATTAGTAGAACCTTATAAATATAAAAGTTGTTTAAAAAACTTAGAATTAAAAATATGAATATATATTTTACATAAAATTAAAAAAAACAAAATAGTTAATCTGAAAAAAGACAACTAGTATAAAATAAATGTCCTCAACATCAGGATGAAGCTTTTCATGAGGTTAGAGGCATTAAATAAATCAATATTTTTAAGCTATTATAACTGGACTTCTATTTTCAAACTGTAGATGTTTCTCTTCCCATCAGGGAGGCTTTGTCAGTTGAAAATATTTGGAGTGGGAGCTTTAGAGCTTCATGAAGGTCTATAGCTTAGAACACAGAATAGAAATCTGCCGCCAAACTGGACCATGATGCTTTGCATTAGGCAAAGATGGCGGTATCCACGAAATACTCCATTGCAGTATGGGGGAAATTGGTCTTGGCGGAGGTTTGCACTCTCCGAGTGCTTCTAGTTTTAAATGAAACCAGAGAGCGTTGACAGAGAGGAGAGGGTAGAAATGACTCAGCCTGTAACTGAAAATATGGATGGAGGACAACAGAGCTGCTTCATGGAAGAAGAACCTCAGCTTAGCCTGTTAGCCTTCCCGCTAGCACCAACGCTATATTGCCTTATATGTATTAGCTTGGTGCTAGCGTGACAAACAAGCTAAACTGAGGTCCTCCATCCATATTTTCAGTTGCAGGCTGAGTCATTTTTGTGTTCTCCTCTCTGTCATGTGGATGGAGGACCTCAGTGACGAGAGGAGAATGTGTAGCACCGAGCTAATACATATAAATGGTGATAGCGTCAGGGCTAATGCTAAAGCTAACAGGCTAAGCTGAGGTTCTTCTTCCATGAAGCAGCTCTGTTGTCCTCCATCCATATTTTCAGTTACAGGCTGAGTCATTTCTACCTTCTCCTCTCTGTCAACGCTCTCTGGTTTCATTTAAAAGAGTCGATCATCAGATATTGTCCAAGATTAACCTTCAGGGTGGATATAGCTCGCTAGCAGCCTCGCATCGATGACCTATCCACGTCATCATTTACCCAGAATGCTTTGTGTGTAAATTAAATGGCCCCGTCCGTGTAATATATTTTTAAATTTTTAGTTTAAAAATGATAAAAACTGAACAGCCTACCGTATTTTTACAGTCTTTATTTTACAGTTAACATATATGTTTATTAAATAAAGTCTAATGTTACAACTAATAATGGATCCATTTAACAAATCACTATGTTGCTGCCTGTAGTTTGTTAAATACCTACTCAACCTGTTGGGTAATTGTTTTAGACACACACGAAAAAAACAGAAAATTTTTTTTCAAATTAAAATACAACACAGCAATGAAAATGTTTTTCTTAGTATGGAACATGGGGGCGGTTTATTATGATTTGGGCCTAAATAGCTGCATCTGTACAGGGCATAGATTTTAACCATCATATGTGATTTTTTTTATGACGTGTCTAAATATCTGATGAAAATCTGAGGATACTCTATGCAAAATACAGAAAAGTATTTAAAGTATTCAGACCGATATCGGGGCACTGACTTACTAAACATGGCTTCAAGTCGAACCAGACAGCTGATGAAGCTGTCGAAGTCGATGTTCATGCGCTCGTTTGCGTAACGCATGGTGATGATGTCATACAGCTGGTTGTTGAGACGGAAGCCTGAGCGGGACATAAGACACATGACTGTACATTGACAAAAACATTCAGAGGATGAATTTAGGATGGAAGCAAAGACAAACAATCTTATAATTTTTACATCATAAACTTGACAAAAATAAATGAGTTCTTCATTAAAAACAACATCACTGCAATAAGATTTTTCTAAAAGTTGTAGCTGAATTTGACTTAAAATACTGAATGTCCAAATCTTAACCCTATTATGATTGAACAAATTTCAAGTATTAAGCTAATCAAGGCTAAGTTGAATAAGAGAAGATTAAAGCAACAGAAGAAACCTCTGAATAAACTAAAATATGAAAACATCACTTTTTTCTCTCTCTATTCCTACCTGCATCGTTGACAGCATTTCTCATCTCGTAACTGTTGATGCTGGCAGACTGGTCAGCATCATATTGTTTAAAGATTCCCTAAAAAACAAACAAAAAAAAAACATAATGATTACACCACAGAACTGAGCTGCAGTGTTCAACAGCTTCCCATAAGTCAAAATATTACAGGATAAAAATGATCCAACACAAAGAACGGTGTCTCCTGTCTCTTTTTTTCTTTTTCTCACCTCGCCATTCCAACACAACTTCACCCCCTTCAAAATAAAAGACTGAACATAACGTCTCTTTTGATACTGTTATATACTTAACAACAACTGGTAAAGGCAAAAAAAGGGTAAAAATAGTAAAACAGATGAGATACATTACAAATAAAATCTATTAAAGGAGCCTTTTCTCCCACCTGCCACTGCTTGATCTTATTCCACAGATGTCTGAACTCCTGCAGGTTAAGTCTGCCGGTCCCATCCATCTAAACAGACACAGTTAAGCCTAAGAACTGCGCTACATGTCAGACCATCAACAATTTCCAGTTTTGACAAAGAAAAAGTATGAATTTCACTAAAAACATCAGCAACTTGTCCCATCTGAGCAGGACAAGAAGCCTTGGATKTCCAGCAACAACATTTTGTTTTGTGAAGTCACGGTTGCAAAACGTCTGATTTAACTCCATTTATCACGATGGAATATTTCCATGTTTAGTCCAGCCTTTAAGTTGCCGGGTGCCATGTTGCCCTGAGCGTCCATCACAGACCCTAAAACGGGTTTTGGCAGGTTGTGCCTCCTGAGGACAACACAGCCGGCCCGATGCACTCGATACAAAGGATACGTCCATCAGAGCGATCATGCTCCTGCAGCTCTCCAGACTGAACCCCTCTGTGCTCATGTCCTTATCTAGAGGAGATCCATAAAGACAGAGACATGAGAAAACACTTCTAAGTGAAGGCCTACAGTCCTTTCAGGCAACAGTTTTAGACTAAGATCATCAAATGTTGATAAATGACAGAGTTGTAGCTGTTTTACGTTTCTGTGCTTTGTTTAGTTACTTTTGTTCTGTTCAAATCTGTGCTCCTTTTGTTTAGTTATTTATCCTGTATTTGGTTCTGTTACACTCCTGATTCTGTCTCTGCCACACCCACCTGCTCCTGCTCCGTCTCGATGTGAAGGTGTATTCCAATCAATGAACAGGGTTTGGTTTGTTGGGCTTTAGCCTGTGTTGCATCTTGTGATCAAAAGTATGAAAAGCAGCTTCAAACAACATAAAACATACCGCTCCATCATGATGGAGTTGACAGCTTCTAAAAGTGCTTATAAACTGGTAAGSTCAACACAGAAAGCTGTCTGGTTCCATGTCTCACTGGTTTGTACAATTTTGTGCAAATTAGCCACCAAAACAAATCAAGCTTGGACACAGAACTTCTGTAACCCCATGTTGTTGTTTTCCATAYATATTCCAGATGTTGATTGCTGCCATGTCTGATTTTGTTTTGCATTTTTGTAAATAAATCTTACGTTTAATTGAAACTCCTCRCCCTCCCTCTACACTCTGGGTCCAACTCTTTGAAAACAATCCATTCACCCTGATGTCACACATCGAGTGTGTTGTGAATGACTCTGTTACTACCAAAACAAAAATCTCAATAACTTTAAAACTGATTGTGTTTTGGCCTTTTTGTGCTGAATATMATCAATTAGCTGTGGGTGACATCTTGAATTGAACTAACTAAAAGTTAACCAGTTGATTGACCAATGATTACCTTCTKAGAGTTTCATTAAAATCTGTCCATAGGCTCATGAGATATTTTGCTAACAYGACTTACGTTTGGTGATCACTCTGTTGAGAACATTTTTCAGTTCGTTGGCTGTGATTTCCATGTCCTGAACAGATCAGAGAACAAAAGAAGAAGAAACAAAAAGGACATCAAAATACTTTCATATGAGTCACAGTTTTCAAAGTAACTGGTAGTATGTGTACTTCCACTACTCACATCTCCAGCTATCTCCTGAAAAATGGTTCGAAAYTGCTGGTCCTCCTCGCTCTCCTCCCCTGCTGAGGCTGGTGCTGGCTGCGTCAGCRATGGAGCCGCAGAGGAGAGAGATGTGAGAAAAATGAAAAAAAAAACAGCATGGAGGACCACTTTCTGTGCATCATGTTGTCAGCAAGAGTAGTCCTCGACTATCAGGCTAATAAGAGAAGCTTCTTTTTGTAAACAGTGGGCAAAAACTTGGATTAAATTGTGGGTTGACTCCAAAAGTTGACCAGTTGAAAATGTACATTCAGTGATTCCAGYTTTGTTTAAATGTATCAAGTGATACAAGGKATATTTTGYTAAYACACACAAAAACACAATAATAAACAACAAACACTGAATTCACAGAGACTTACCACAGGATTGTCGGCCTCGATCCTGTTCTCTATCTCCCTGGTTGAAGATGAACAAACAGTAGTCATCATAGTGACCATCATCATCATCATCATCCTTGTCATCATCTTTTAACCATAACATAATATTCTCATACAATTTTAAGCATATAATATAATTAATCTGTAACCCTGGGATTAAAAAACATTTGTATAAAAAGCTTGATTTAAAACACATTGTAATAAAATATTTTAACAAACCTTTATTAAGATGATAATTAAATGTAAGTGTAATACCACTGGTTTCTTGTCCAGTCGTGTTTTTGCTGTATTTTTCTTTATGTGTGTTTTTGGAAAGCCTAGACTTGGTGCATTTCAATAAAAACAACTATTTGAGGTTACATTAACAAACCAAAATTCTTCTTAATTATGACTGTGTCTAACTGATGGTAAGTTAAATAAAAAAGTTATATTGTTGAATCCATCCATCAGATATCATTTCCAGCCAAGGTCCATCTGCAAGCTGTCCTGTCCTGTCCTCCTGGGCAGCAGGGGGGTTGGGGGTGTGGTGGTTTGCTGAGACTTGAGCATACAGTACAGAGTATTTGGAAAGTTTACCAGACTGTGCCCAAATCTGAAGTCCCTTGTCCTAAAAAAGATTCCAAACCAGCTTCGAACTGGGGCCGATTTCTTCCAGCTCTACAAATCAAATTGTCGTTAAAATTGTTTCTCGTAATCCGTGCATTTTGTCCCACCCACCAAACAGAAAAAACCCACCCTCATTGACAAACACTCATAGCATACAGAAAATAGGGCTGGTATTAGGTGTAAAACTAACTGAATCTGTGCAGCAGAGAAACACTGTTTCGTGACGATGTGCTCCAATGCAGTTTTTAGACATGAACACCTAATGGACCAAATCAACGCACAATTATAGGGGGGATCCTGAAAACCCAGAGGGGGCACCAAAACCGAAAACCAGAACAGATTTCAGGAGACCTGTTATTTGACAGATYCAGCAACAAAGGGGTTAGAGAATCATCTTGATATTTTTAGGTCTACTTTAGTTGATTTTTTTCTCCACAGTTGATATTTTTATTGTTAAAAGCACTGTCAGTATTTAACTTACTGAAGCTCAACCTTTTATAAATTTCTATTCATTAAARACTAACTTACATACTGAATAATGAGACTCTGCATCTAAATCTCAGGACATTGGTTTGAGACCAGTTGTCCTTTTTCAGGGGGACTACAGTGGAGCCCCGCAAAGACGTRTTCCCTTTCAGTCATTTCACTMGGTACAACACATCAGTATGGGAAACCACGCCCCTGYGTGTCCTGGCTGAAGCCAYCTCTAATCACGCCTTTAGGCAGGTGAYGTGATGACGACAGATGTCAGGCTCCGCCTGCACATATATAMTGTCCGYCATCASAGTCACTYCTCAGTTCTAMYGCTCTTCACCTCGCTAAGAACACCCACCTCTTCCAACCTAGCTAGTTAGCTGCTGCTAATTAGCTTTGTTTGTTCGAAGGCTCTCGAAATTAGTTTAACAGCTTTTGCTGGTGTTAGCTGCATCTGCCTACTGGTAACTGTATGCCCACGGAGCGCTAATTTTGAGTAGCCTTTCTTACCTCGACGAAAGAGAGGATTTTGTGGTTCGGGATGAGTACAAAATTACTCAAGAAGAAGCAGAAGTCTTCGGTTCGCCCCTGTCCCCAGGGGTGCGGCCTCTCGCTTCATGATAAGGACCAGCACAAGGCTTGCCCTGTCTGTTTGGGGATCGTTCACGCTCGTAGGACGTTGGCGGAGCCCGAAGCGTGTGCGTTTTGTCGCCAGCTTTGGCGCTCAACCCTGGAGAGACGGGTTAAGTTCTTGGAGAAAGTGCTGGGCAAAGCTGCAGTCGCACGGCAGGACCCTCTCCTCTCCGAGTCCAGTAACCCGGCTCCGTCCGAGTCTGACGAGGAGGAGCTCTCGGTCGAAGCCCCCGCTTCCAGCTGGGCGGACCGCGTGGAGTATATGGAGGGGTTAGCCGACGAAGAAGAGGAGGCCTCCCAGTTTCAGCTGGACCTCCGCCAGGGAGACGAGGATGGGCTGGATATTGGCCTCGATGTTCATGGTTTGTAGGAGGATGACAGCGAACATGGTCTGAGTCAAGATGCCCCCGCTGCTGCGGAGGCAAACCAGGAGGACGCGTCTTTTCTCTCCTTGTGTCGTCGTGCAGCTCAGAAACTGGAGGTGGTGGCCTACTCCCCCTCCTGCATAAAAACTGTCACGGTTTGCTGGGTTTTTTCTCCCCACCGAAGCGACCACGGTGAAGAACCGTCTTCCCATGTTCCCAGACTTCGTCTCGGAGCTGACATCCTGCTGGAACAAACCTCTGTCCACCCGCGTCACAGTACCCAGCTATGGACCGTATTTGGATCTGGAGGGAGCCGAAAAAGCTGGGCTAGTGAACATTACTCCTATGGAGTCGTCCCTAGCAGCATATTTGGCCCCGTCTCATAATCATGGAGTGAGYGGGCCCACCACGCTTCCTTCCAAGCCCTGTAGATTTTCTGCTGTGCAGCTGGAAAAYGTTTACAAGGCTCAGGCCACCACCGCTCGCGGTTTGAGCTCCATTAGCATGCTCCAGACTTACCAGGCTATGGCTCTGGCGGAGCTCAGAGCCCAGGTACCGCCCGAGAGTCCTCTGTTGCCTCTCTTAAATGAGATCCGACTCACCGCGGACTACATCCTCCATGCGTCCCGCAGCGTAGCACTCTCCCTGGACAGAGGGATGGCTTCAACCATGGTGGCGCAGAGACATTTGTGGTTGACACTCTCTGATGTCCCCGACAGAGACCGAGCCACATACCTGGATGAACCAGTTATGGCGGCTGGGTTATTCGGTCAGTCTCTCGACGTCATTTAGGCGAAGTTCGAGCTGAGGAAGAAGCAGGCTGAATCTCTGCGCTGCATTATCCCCAGACGGGACTCGAGACTGAAGACCAGCACACGGAAGCCGGCTGCTCAACCGCCTCCTGTTAAGAGAGCGGTGCTGCCTGGGAGCCTGAGCACCCAGGCACTGCAGCCTCATAACCACGGCCAATCTCCCCGCGAGTCGGCTTGGAGCAAGGGCCCCCCTCTGGGTCTTCAGAAGGGCTCGACGCCTCGGAGGGAGAACAGTCCTCCTAGCTGTGGGACTGTCACTTCAGGGACTTCAGGGCCAGGGAGACATGATCGCATGTCATCGGCTGCCGCCCAAAAGGCATCTTGTTTGTTTTTTCAGGGAACCAGCCCCAAGAGGCACTGCGTTTCCCACACACAGTCTCCCAAGCACCAGTCCCACCCCACTCACACATTGTTTGTACAAAAAGCCCCCAGTTTGGTTGGGCTAAATGGTCAAAATATAAATGTACAAAATGTTTGTGTAAACTTGTTGAATGTGTCAATAAAAGAAACACTTCACACACATAAAAAAAACAACAAAATAAAATCAAAAAAGTTGTGAGCGACAGTCATATTATGCTGCACCTCTCTCATACGACAGAGGGCAGCAGGACTTCGCCAACACAAGTCGGTCGCCTAGCATCGCATGCGCACCATCCCCTTGGGTGGAAAAAACTGTTGCCATGGGTTACCGGCTACAGTTTTGCATAAGGCCGCCCCATTTCAACAACGTGATAAACACTGTTGTTGGGAACGAAGCAGCCGGGGATTTGAGAGAGGAAATAAACATGTTACTGGCGAAAGGAACCATACGCGTGGCCCCTGCCTCGGACGTGAACAAAGGTTGGTACAGCCGTTATTTTGTCATTCCGAAAAAAGGCGGTGGCCTCCGTCCGATTCTGGACCTGAGAGTGTTAAACAAGTTTCTATGAACATACAGGTTCAAAATGCTAACACTCAGGCAGCTTCTGCATTCTGTCAGCCCAGGCAACTGGTTTGCAACCATCGACTTAACAGACGCTTACTTTCATGTAGCGATCCACCCGGATCACAGAAAATATTTGAGGTTTGCGTTCGAAGGCGTAGCCTACGAATACCTGGTGCTACCATTCGGTCTGTCGCTGGTGCCCCGCACCTTTTCAAAGTATGTGGAAGCAGCGTGAGCTCCTCTCAGGGAGAAAGGAGTTCGCCTGTTAGCGTATCTGGACGACTGGGCTCTGATAGCCAGCTCCAAGGAGCAGGCTACAGAGCATCTGTCTCAGGTCTTGTCGCACATTCAGGCTCTGGG